ATCAGAACACAGGTTGCTGTTTGGATTGCTGACGTAACCCTTACAATCTTTACAACGGCGCCAGACTTCACATACCGTCCGTGTACCAGTTCTGTAACCATTCTTCGTCTTGTGATTCTCGAAGCATCGAATGGATCGAAACGATCGACAGCAGTCACCACAAAAGCGTCCATCCGGTTCCAAAGGACTATATTTACTGACACATCCAATCTGAGTGCACATATGACAGACGCCAAAGCATCGATGCCTGCGCTTATCACTGTAAAGCTACCGCAGATATCGCAACGGCCAGTAAATCCCAGTAGCGTATGTGGTTTAACGACGGCATCAAAATGATTGTTATGAAAGATCAACATGACGAGATTCTTGCAATAAGGGGAGTCGTAAGACTCGGCAAACTGGAGATCAGCATCAATGACACGAAGTTGGCAGTCGTACTTTTCCCGCAGTACGCGAGCAAATTTGTCGAGCTCATCGAAACCACAAGGGCCAAGCGGAACTCTTGCTTCCCAACGCAGCTTCTGAGCCAATGTATGCTGAGCTTTTCGGTCAGATCTGCATATGTTCTGATAGGTTCTGTACTTCAAGGCGTGCGCTAGGCAAACAGCGATTGCACGTGAGCAACACAATTCGTTGTTTGGATCATGGAGAACCGACGGTCGAATAACAACAACACACTGTCGCTGTTCGAGGTACTCAGTTATTTTGAAAGATATTCTGTTCTTTTTAATCGAGCGCGTACCATATCCGACTGTGTCTCGACAGTGAACAAACGTACAGCGAAGCGCTTGATCAAACAGGAAATAAGCGTTTCCGCTTCGCATAACTCTTTCAATCGTGTGCACGAGGTAATCTGGAGTTAATTCTCGTGCTGGTAATACCTTACTGGATATGGCGCGATCCGGAAAACTGTGATGCTCGAAAATCAGCCGTACTCTATCGGACGGATACACGTTGTGGCGCTTGTACAGGTAGTCGAGAAGAAAACCGAAAAAATCTTGAGCTGATACAATGCATGAAGCAGGTCATTTGGATCGAGCGGATCGTGGTTGTAGATAGTAAAGGAATCTTCAACCGTATGAAATTGTGGTGCATGGGTGATGTGATGACTTGCAGGGTTAATTTTGAATGGATAACTACAATAATAATTATTTCTTTGTTAAATTTGATGAAATGAATTTATTGATAATCGATGAGCGAACAGCCTTGTGAAATTTTTTGACAACAATTTCGAGATAACATGCAGCAAACTGGAGAATAATTGATTGTTAAATGATATAAGAACTAACAGGAATGGAAAATCGCATGCAATAACAATGTTTCTCTGGAAGAGCGATAATTATGACTGAAAAAATTCATGCAATGATTACTGAAAAATGAGCTTTCAGACCAGTGATCCAACTTACTAAGGATATCGAAATGCATTTTGACGAACAATCGGCGCTGGACCGTCGTAGTACCGAGTACCGTACTGCGTCTGCGGACGGAAACTGACAGGCGTCGGTGGTGCCATATTCAGCTGATCATAGTGCGTTGAAGGAACGTTGTTGACGAAATCTTGCATAAACCGATGCTCCATTTGCTGACGCTGCTGTTGCAGATGATCTACACGTGATGGCTGATTCTGGTACATCGGCGGTTGCTGGTATTCCACAAGGACTGGAGAACCAGTATAACGGTTCCCATCTACCAATGCAGCCACGACTGTACGACTTTAACAGTAAGATTCTACAGTACCGCATCTTACCGTATACATCAGATGCCGATCGGAAGCCACCACCACTTGGTTCTATAGCGTACTGCGGAACTTGCTGCGCGGGAAGGTAGGTGCCGTTCCGATTAACGTATCCCGAACCTGATGCGGCACAATCGCTGCGCGGCTGCCCAAAAAACCCGCCGGCAGCAGACGAAGAGTCGTATGCACTGCACTGAGTAGCCGGATAGGTGTTAGACGCATGCAGCTGATGGTGCACTAAAAAATCGATTTTGGTTAGCACCGGCGCCGCACAGTGCGTGTTAAAATCAAGTTGAGTACCAAAATCGAATTTTTTATTTTCATGAATGTAAGCTAATGATTTTATCCTGTGCGACTGAATTAATAAATTAACTCACCCAAGTTTGGATATTTGGCATTCGGATGAGGGATGAATGGCTGAGTAAGCTTTGACTGCACAAACCGACGACGTTTGGACTTCTCGGGCGCATTCGGTGCCTGCCGTCGTTTGGGAGAAGTAGGCGGCGTGTCCAAAACTTGTCCACATCCGGTCTGCACGTATACATCGAGCTGGTTTTCTTTATTTTCACCGTCGCTGGCCAGGTCTTTTAAGATGACATCCATTTCTTTGTCGTCTAGGAAATTCAGGGTCGGTTCTAGGGCGTGAATGGGATCGTACATGTCAGCGTTGCTGTTGACGGTCGGGACTTGATTATCCACAGTCCACACGTCACATCCGAACATGCCATACGGCGGATACTCCTGCTTCTTTGGTGCCGGTCCGAGAATCGCGGTGATACGTTGATAGTTCAATGGATCGAGCACAATCCGGTTGAATTCTGTGTAGTACTTTAACAGATAGCCGAACTGCTGCGCCGTAACAACTTCAGCATAGACAGGGCTGTCGTCAGGACGGATGGGTACAAGATGGACAAAACAATCGTTAATGGAATGAGTAAGACGATCGAAGCCGGTCTGGAACACAGTCTCCTCGAATTCCTGGTAGAAACTCAGCGAGAAGCAGAGCGGTGACTTAGGACTACCGAACAACATAAGGACTGAGCGCTCTTTGGAGAAAGCGCCGTGCAGCTGTTCCTCTTGTGGATAAAACAGCTTGTAGTATAACCCGCAGCAGCTCGACATCTCTTCCGGTGTGGGAAGTAGATAGTCGTGCAGCGTAGGAGTTAACCAACGCCCGGAAGTGCAAAGTGTCCTTTGCAGTTCGAGGGCGGGATTGCTTCGGCCGGGCCATAGCTTAAAACTTGACATATCTCAAGAAAGCAAATAGAACAACATGCGAGTATAACACTTTAAAGCTAAACACGGTTGGAACCGACGAAATAAAAGTTTAGATCCTTGTTGAACGTTAAATGAATTTTGACAATTTATGCGTGGACATTGTCCACATGTTCCGTGCTTGACTGTATTTGTTACTGTGTGTATGTGCCACTAGGTTACTGATGCATTCATGAGATTGGTCGCTTTCAAATCTGAGTCACCACCGAGTACGCCTAAAAATGGCAAGCGCATAAATGCAGCTGCCCTTGAAATTGATATATTGTATTACTTTGTGGATAAGCGCAACGTTCACAGCGGGACATTGCACATCAACCTTTAATATTTTTCAACAGCATTTCCTTTTTCATACCACCCAGTTCGGCTACGTACTTAACAACAGCAGACGCCTTATGGGCGTTAATTTTCCCGTATTCAGATATCAGACATTCAACAATTTTCTTGGCAATGCGCATATTGGATTTGTGTTTGTAGAAATCTTTTGCATTCGATGCGCAGAAATACTTGGACTTCTTAATTAGCTTAATTAACAGCGCCCGTACTGCATCGCTCACTACCAAATCAGACGGGATATCTCTCCCGTAATCAACTGGAACTGCCAGATCTGGTAACAACGCGTTACCATATTCGTCAAAATCGGCTTCATGGGAAAGGCGAAATCCTTGCTCAATAAACTCCTGATCGAAGTCGTACTCTTCCAGAACGTCTGAAGATGCACTATCGCGTGCATCCGGTGGTAGGCTGCGGGATCGCATATATGCACGTCGATTCCCACCATAAAACGTCTCCATACGATCAACTAGTTCACGATCGGTCTCGTTAAGATACTCTGAATGACGCTTCTGATACTCTTCAAACACATTCATCTAAAAAAAATTTTGAAAAATTTCGAATTTGGTATGCATTTATGATGCAACACATCACGTAAAATCGAAGTTGCTTACCAAAATCGAAGTTTTAATTTTATGAATTTTTTCAGTTTTTTCAAGTACACTGTATATGCAACAAAGGAAAACAGTTATTCAAATTATCAAAGCGATAAACGAGATGAAAAAGCGCAGCTGACAATAAATAAAAGCTATGCTGCCATCGTAGCACTTAATCTTACTTATCTCTGCGGGATACCGGCAGATCAACGCACAAAAGAAAACCGTTAAAAACTTTACACTCGAGTTACTCAGCTAATTCGCTGCGACAGTATTTGTACTAATCTGTTTGAAGAAATGATATTAAATTTGACTGTAAACTGATCAACGCTCTTGTGCTGAAGGTGAAAATAATTACTGTAGATGCGCGAACAATGCTTATATTAATGTGCTTAAATACTCGTATGATTATCACCGTACTTATGCGCGCTGTGTACTGTACATATTCTACTATTCTGATGTGCTGTTATGAATAAATACACCACAGTGCGCAATCAAGAGGTATACATAAAGCTTTCACAATCAAGAGATGTACATACACACAGATAAAGCATTCACAAGCAACACGCACATAATTAGTTGCACTTTCATGTACGCATAAATAATGACGGTTCGATAAAGTTAAAAAAGATGGGAATAATATTACGAATGTTGAAACGATGTAATAAAAATAAAATGAAAAATTAGAAAAATTCGGTTATTATTGCAGCATTTTTGTTAAAACACTCGATATTATAAACGTATAAGCGTACATACAATACTGAATAATTGTATCTGTAACACCGGTATGCAGTATTGAATAGCATGTATTAATAGCGCACGTCAGCTTTGCCATTGAAATTCAGTTGGCATTAAATGATTTTGTGAACGGGTAAATGTATCGCACTTATTTGGGAATTACTTTAATATTTTACCCTTAACATTAGTATTTTGCTATATTGTTATAATAATTTATTGAAATTATTCAGCGCAATTATTGCGCGCAAAACACACAGGCACGTACACCACACGCACACGATAGCGCATAACACAATTCCTAGATTTTTTTATTTATTTAAACTTACTTCTGTCGGTATGGGCAGTTCGCGACGTCCAAATGGTAAGGAAATAAAACCGCACGTTATAATGGGCAAATCTGTGATATAAGAGCGCTTATTAATTTAGTACATCTTATTGGCAATAAAAAGTGTGCATATATACGAGTACAAAAGACCGCACAACAACAGTGAATTAATATTATATAAAATATATTTAATAAAAGATTAGTCTACTACAGCAACACGGTGTTGGTACAGCGCGAAAACCAGATAATTTATACGTACTAACACAAAAATATACATAATGTCATAACGTAAAAGACGTACAGTAAGTAGCGAGTATGGCATGCCGCATACGAATTTTTTATAGATATGATAAAGAAATTACGGGAACACGGTGTTGGTGCAGCAATTTATTGTTATTTTATTATGATACTTTATTTTTTAATGGCTTACGGTGAGCGCGTCGCAAAGTTGCTGTCGAGTGCCGGGAAAATAGGTGCGGCACGTTAGCTAGGCGTGGGAAACGTCGCTAGCACAGCAGGGAATCAATCGCCGGTCGTAGAAAAGCCTGCAGAGAAATTTCTAATAAATACATTTAAAAGCAGCAAAATGAACTACGGTAACACGGTGCTGGTACACTGCCAGAAATGCACAAAATTAATATTTATTTTGTTTTAATATTTTAAGTTGTATGCAGAAAGCGATAAACATTGCCCATCAGATACACCACCAGCACACATACGCCAGTGCCAATGCGTTTAAACAGAAAAGCGCTTGGTTGCGAAAATTATTTTATTTTCATTTTATTTTATTTTCATATTTATTTTCGTGATTTTACAGGTGGAAATCAAACCTGCGCGGTAGATACACTTTCTGTGCAGTTTAGGGTGTCAGAAGTGGGATCGAACAGAGAAGCGCTTGTTTGCGTAGTATGTTTTGTAAAAATAAGCTTCTGTGGATGTGCCCCACACTGTACGTACAAAACTGTACGAAGTATACCGTAGCCTCGGTAGTTTTATTTGTTAATTTAAAATTATCTACACTTACAATGTGTAGATATCGTGGAAATGTCCGCGAGGATGCTGCGCTGACGATGGGGAATGCTGGCGCGATACCTGTAAAAAAGTCGCAGATATCAGCACCATTGCCTCTGTGCATTCCCACATCAGGCGCAAAAAACCGTCGGGCAGCGTGCTTTTACATTTTATTAATATTTTAATAAAAGTCCGCACTTACGGTGAGCTGAACTACGGCAACACGGTGCAGATGGATGGAGCGCACACTGTCAGATGACAGTGAAACGGTATCTGCAAAATACCAGTAGATTACAGCACCACAAACACAGTACTGCCGTACAATTGTTCGAAAAAAACCTACCACACGTACATTCATTTATATTTTAATATTAAAAAGTACGTGCAGTACTTACTTGAACGAGAAATCGCGCGGAGAGACGATACGGGAACACAGTGCTGACGCAGCGAGATCCCCAAACAAACTGGCACGTGTGAGTGCCTAAACAAACACACTCCGCGAAAAAACCAACCAAGGCGCACACAAACACAACCCGCACACTGTCCTTCGAAGAAGGATAAAAATCCAAGGAGTAGTACGGCTGGATGAGGGGAAAACGATGGGGTTTTCGTTCACGTAAATTCTAATTAATTTAGAATTTTTAAGATGCCAATTTGTGGCGTTGGCCAAGCCACGCCGTGTGCACGGAGTCTTCAAGACGCTAGCCAAGACAGGAGTCTTTGTGCGCGCAGTGCCCATACTCCGTCCACACATATAGATGTGTATGGTGGCGCTGCTAACAGCGCGCGCGCTTTTTTTTAACTTGTACATATGTGTACATATATGTAATTAGTTAGGTAATTAAGTTTTTTAATTGTACAGTGTGTTTTTTGTTTGTACAGTATGTTTTTTAATTTATTTTAGTATTTTTTTAACTCGTTAATTAGAAAAAATGAAAATTAACCATTGTTTCCACTAATGAATTACGTAACTTAATGAAATTAATGTAAATTACTGTACTCTATTGTTTAATTTAATTAAAAGTAATTAAAAAGTTAATTATAGGCAGGTGGTACTGTATATACAGGCAGGTGGTACTGTACGGACCCCTGGGGTGTTCCTGGCAGTGGATGTCTGTGTATTCTACTAACGC